CCTGAACTTCACATACCGAGTGGCCGTTTCAAAGCCAAATCCGACTGTCAAAAATATAAGGGACCTTTTTCCGAATCTGAAGCACTGGCAAGTCCAACTGATCCAAGAATTAGTAACGAGCAAGAGATGTTTTCTGCTGATGAAGTGGAAGACGCCCCACTCGGGCAGAATCTTAGTAATACCGACGAAATGGACTCGGAAGTTGGCCAGGGAAGCTATTTTCCTGAGGTTGATCCAATACCTATTCCAGGGCCACCAGGATCATTTTTGCCAAGTCCCAGAGATATGGGGTCAGATGATTTTCAAGGGAACTCTTCACTAACCACAAGCCGAGTTCAATCATCTCAAGATCAGCTTGATTTTATTGATGGGGATTCATCAGATTCACCTCTTTCTACAACATCAACCATCTCTAATTCCACTGGGACAAAATGTGATCTGAAGTATTCTGAACCATTATCATCTATAGGACCTCAATCAGTTCAAGACAACATCAGGTCGGGCCTATCACATGCAATCATTGATCCTTGTGTAGAAATTAATGCTGCTGCAGCTCAACAGATAACTGTTATAGCAGCAGAAAGACTTGCTTTTGATAGAGAGAACTTTAAAGTCAACAAGACATCTCTTGAGAGGGGACCTCTCATCTTCAAAGGTAACGATCAACCTTGCTGTTGTCAAAGAAAGGAGAGAACCTTTCAGGGTGTGGCTTTAAATTATCAAGAATCACCGCTATTAAGGCGACGAGCAATGGCACTGCCTGCCATGGGAAAGCAAGTGGGTTGCAATCCAAACACAAGAACCAACAATGTGGAGACGAGGTCTGACATGACAGACACCTTTCCGAATGGTTTCCCAACTTCAAGATCTGAACAGATGGTTTTCCCTGTCACTAAGTCATCTGCAGGTCCCATTCCTTTGAAGGGTTCTCCGGATAGCAAAGGGAAGTTATCTGGTCACAGTGATTGTGATTCTGTTAGTCCATCTGCTTCTAATTCCATACTCCGGCTGATGGGAAAGAATTTGATGGTGGTCAATAGAGATGAAGATGCATCAGCTCCGCCGGTGCAGGCCCAATCACATGCCCCAATTAACCATCTAACTTCACAGTTTCCAACATTCTCAGGAGTTGTTCCTGGCAATCAAAATCAGTTTTACCATTCCTTCCATCACAGTCTTCCTCATGGTTCAGTTATCTTTGGTCAAGATCCCCATAACAAAGTGGGGGAATGCTTTGATACAGCGCACTTCAACAGTTTTAGAAGCTATAGCAATCCGAAGACACCACAAGTGGTTGCACGAGGACCTGTAAGCTTGTTTTCACAGCAGCATACGGATGTTGGTTTTGTGGCATCCATGGAATCTCATGAGTATAAAGGTGACTACAATTTTCCAATCCCACAGAACAAGAATATAAGCAAACCCATTGGAGCACCCGCATTTCAAATGGAGAGAGTTATGAACACTCCTGACCACCGACGCAAGAATTCAGATTCTGCTTCCAGTGCAAATAAAGAGATTATCATCATTGATGATCCTGAAAGTGAACCAGATTTGGCCTGTAATGTTTCAAACTACTCAGAAGGGTCGAGGGAAGGCCAAGTAGTGTGTTCTGGCATTCCAGTTCCAGCAGCTCCCAGTTATAACTCACAGCGTGTGAATCCTTTCTCTTGTTATGAGTCACAGGACCCTTCTCTTCTCTGTGGATCACCAGTTTTGTACAACACCGCCTTGCATGCAATTCCCTCCCGACGAGCCAATGCAAGTCCTGCCCGGTGGAGTTGTACTTCAGAAGGTTCTGGTGTGCTGCAGCGGACTCCTATTCTTGCGGCATCGTCATCTTCAAGAAGTCATCTGAGACCTACAGTTTACAATTCTCCGAGCTTCTCATAGTAACCAAGTTGTGTTTGAATGTGGCTATTTTCACCTGGTTTTGAGCACAACCAGGTTTGCTTTAATCAAACTCTGTACTGATCCTAGAATGCTCGTAGACAGATCGCTGGAAACTTTTGGGGGATAAAAGAAGAGGGAATGGCGGTTGATCAAAGATAGAGATGTACACTGTGCCAAATGTTGGTTCAAAACAATGCAGTTTTTCAGGCTTCTGCTTAGGGATGCTACCCAGAGAATAGACAATGTATAAGGGATCCATGAATAATATATAGTTGACATAAAAGCTTGGCTCAAAGTCAATATATATAGTCGAGCATTGCTGTAAGGAAGGTTTTATTTTGTATTTTCCTCTTTTTATTTTATAGAATTTTGTTAGAGCTACTTTCATGTGTTTTTGCCTCAATTAAATGTGAATTACAAGCACCACCAGCTCTAGTCTTGAAAATATATTTTTTTCTGATTTGGTTTCGGTTCATCTGCGCTTTCCATACGTATTTGAGTACTTCAAACCATAGAGAAAATTCTGTTGAAGTAAAACAAATTAAACATGAAGCTAAGTTATAAAGTAGCATCGATGGTATCTGCCGTTATTGCCAATCTTGAAGCATAAAATTGGATAATAAAATGGTGATGCAAATCTTGGTTTGAAGAGGAAGGCTTCTGAATATGATTTTCCTTGCCTTGAGCTAAAGGAACATAAAATACTAAAAATAAAGCGACACAAGGGGAGAAATACCAAATTAACTTGATAGGAATAACTATGAACGAACATTTCAAAAACTTTCACGATGAAAAACCCACATGCAGAAACCTACGCAGATGGCCAACAAAGATGTATATATATATTTGGCAAATCATACATCGAACCATTTGATGATATCTTCTCCTGGTTTTGATCATTAATATTGTATGTGTTTTCTTTCTAGGCACCAAGAGATGAGAGGCTCCACCATTAGATTTTGCCGAGACAGTGTATCTTTTAGCTAGCTAGCTATAGACTTATCTATATATATAGATATTATTTGATGTGGGGTCTTATGACTAGAGAAAATGCAGAGACTACAGTGATGACTGAGACCCTCTTGCCAATAAAACTCATAGAATGTTTTAACTTTTGGCAGTTTTTAAGCCACTTATTCTTCGTTTCTTGCTTTATCTTCCTCCTCAATTTCCATGCTACGTACAATGCGAAAAAATGGTACTATATGAATGAACGAATGAGAGATAATGAGAGAGGTGCATGGTCAATTTAAGGTACATAAAAAACGACAAATTGAAAAAATACAAAATAAAATGGCCCTTGGATTCGCAATAATATGCTTTGCTCAATAATAATGCAGTACGTGGTACTATTGGCAGTTCCTGTTTTACTGAAAGATATAACTAGGAAGTCACGCACACCTAATAGAGACGGGTATGTCCCGATACAATTACGTTTCATATCTCTAATTGGTACGATGCACAATATGGTATAACAATATGATTTCTTTAACGTTACTTTTGTTTGTTGAAAGAGCCGTTGTTGAATTTAATTAATTAGTTAATAGATGGGCATATCGAGCACCTTTCTTTTCTTTTTATAAGGACAACATGATATGTAATTGAAAAGCTATTGTTTTTGTGTGTTTAAAAAATTGGGGGTCGGGGGTCAGGCAAATGGATGGAACGTGGGGATGTAAATTTTGCATGGTGAAAGCTGGACCCTCCCCCATTACACATTCTTTACAAAGACAATGGCTCTACTTATGCAATTGTGTTTTGTGGGCCATTCTTTGTCTTTCTTCTTGTCACTTTATTCTAATTCTAATGCGGCCTCTCAAAAGCATACTTTGAACGTAGAGAGAGAGAGAGAGAGAGGAGAGAGAGAGAGAGAGAGATAGAAGTATCTGGTGTTCAATCTTGAGAGAGAGAAAAAAAGTATTTGTTGTGTTCTACACGTACTCTTCGAATCTCTCTCTCTCATTATAATAGCATTGACCAGTCTATAGAGTTCCAAACATAGTATATATAATGCTCCTCACTATTTGTATAGTGCTACCTATTAGCTTAATCATTTTCGTTAATTATATTAATTATGAAAAAGACATTCCCACCCACATTCTGTATAAAACGCATTTGAGTTTGGTTTGAAAAATGTCCCGTGTTTTGGTGGAAGTGGAATTCGTAATTTTTCGAGAGGACTTGACCTTTTATGGGTTTATGAAAATAGTTTTGTCTTTGAGCAAAACCATGAGATTCATGTTGAAATGATTCTAGCTGCTCAATTTGAGCACGTATGGACAACACACAAGAGTCAAAAATCCAACCCTAATAATTTATTTAACTGCAATAACTTGTACAATACACCTACTACGACTCAAATCCAAATTTGAATTCAAATGACATGTTAGAAGGGTTGGGTCCACATTCTTAACTTAAGAGTTGAAAAAACCTGTCAAATTTGCTCCAAATCCTAAGCTTATTCCCAATTCGAATTACCGGCTAAATCACATTATATTAGTTAATAGACATAGTATATTAAACAATAAGGTTCAAGTTTTATGTTGGCTTGAACTTTGTGACTTGAATCTCTAATCTAGTTCGTTGATTTTTTTTGTTTGGGCCGAAGAGAAATTTTATTAGAAATCCATGCAGCCCAATCCGAACAATCCATGGAATTCAAACACATAGAACCTTTATGTTTGTGCAAGAGGCTTGAGCTAGGACTTTGAGTGCAGAGTTAAATGTTCTTAACTGCTTGAGCGATATTAGGGGATGAGAGAATCAAACTTAGACTTCCAAAGCACAAATAAATACTCTTAATTACTTGAATTAGAAACTCCTTTAAGAGATCCTAAATTTGATTCCCCTACCCCAATTGTATAAAAAACCTTTATGTTTGTGAGTTTATTTGGATCCCCAACTGGCGTGGAAGTTAATTTGGTACTTGAATTGAGCATTTTGAGTTAAAGTGCAATATTTTTTTTTGGGGTAACTCTCTCTCTCTCTGTGTGAGTCTGAGGCCCACTTACCAACCAATCAAACTCACAGAAGAAACACAAACAGAGTTGAAGGGTAGTTGCCAAGTCAAACATTCAATCAAAAACCCCATCGAAAACGAAAACCAAATGTCACCGTCACACTCCGTCACACCACCAACCTACACCAGCATACCCATTTCCGTCTCCGGCTCCGATGCCATCACCCGATCCATCAAAAACCTCAACGACGCCGTCTCCCGCCGCCGCCACTGGCCCGAGTTCGCCTCCTCACTCGACCGGCCCGACTCGTTCTCCGCCGCGCTGACCCGGATCCGGACCAACGCCAGCCACTTCCGGGTCAATTACTTGCTCCTGATCGGCGCCTGTGGGGCGCTGTCGCTCATCGGAAGCCCGGGATGGCTTGTGGTGACGGCAGCCGTCGTGGGGCTGTGGCTGGTGATCTACTTCTTCAGGGAGGACCCACTTGAGGTGTGGGGCCACCACGTCAGCGATTGGGCCGTGCTGGTGGGCCTGGGATTGGTATCTGTTTTGGTTGTTTGGGCCAGCGGTGGACTTGGGAGTGTCTTATTGGGCCTTGTAGTTGGGCTTGTGTTGTGTGGGATCCACGGGCTGCTCCGGAACCCGGTAGGCTTGTTTCTCAACGAGAATGACGCTGCTTCCCAAGGCTTGATCGGGCCCACTTCTCCATCAGGCTGATAAACCCTAACTTCATATTTTAATAATTATTTTATTATTTGGGGTTGGTGAGTTTGTTGCATTCTGTGGCTTGAAAACAAACGACAAGCATTTCATTGTCGTTTTCTTTTTGTTTTGGTTGAATTTTTTTGGGTGTTTGTGGATTGTGGTGTGTTGGGGTTTGACTGATGTTTGACTGATTTATTAGGGGTGTAAGAATGTAACTAATAATAGAGTGAAAAATGATAGTGTGTTTCTCTTGTAACCATTGATTTATGGGTTTCTATCATTTTTCTGATGGAATGGAATGAAGAAATTTTACTAAATTTAATGCTTGTGTTATTAATTTTCTACTTGTTTGGGTTTGTTGGCTCAGACTCAAAGATTGCTTTCATTGACTAATTGTAATTTTGCAAATTGCATATAAAATTTCATGCACTTTATTTACACAGATAGAAGAAAGAAAAGAAAGAAGGGTCTTTGTCACTCTCTCTCTCTCTCTCTCTCTCTCTCTCTCTCTCTCTAACCATAATTGATTGTGTCACACAGCAAGCAAACTTTTATGGCTTTGCTATCAACATGGGACCCTGCCTTGATTGAGTATTTATTTTAGGAGATCAAATGAAAGGAAACAAAACAAAACAAAGGGTGTACTCTCAAACTACCATACTTTTTTTTATTGCTCTTAATTTGCTTGAGAAAGTCACTCTGATTGCTTCTGGTGCAATATTGGTAAGCAAATTGCAGTAGTGTCCTGAAGGAAAATATATGGTCTAAATTGCTGATATTACAACTAACTAGATTGATTACAAGTGTTAACAAAACTGAGTTCCTTAGAACAAAAAGGATTGTTGGTTTCAAACATGAGGATTTCCCATTATATCTTGCTCCTCATTCTTACTAACTTTGCCAAAGTTTCTTGAGCTGCCAAGGTTTGAGCATGGTTGTGACCCAGCATAACTGTTCTGATACTAATACAAGTTCTGCACAGCTCTTCGCCGCTGTCGAAATGCCCGCCCCGAAGCAGCAATTTCGCCCTGGTCTCCAGTAATGTCGCCTTCAACAATGTTACGTCTTGCCACACGTATTCATCCACCCTTTGGTTGCTTTGCAACTTGTTCTTCCAACAGAGAGAGCCGTGGCACCAGTCTTGTATTTGAGAGACAAAGGACTTCTCTACTTCCTCGAGTACATTTGTGCAAACCTTTAAAAGTTCCAATGCTGAGTTGCATCTGGAGAAGGTTGTGAAGGCCCTAATTGCAAGAGGGAGGGCTGTCTTTTTTATGTATAAAACCATGTCAATCGCCTTTAACTGCACGAGAGGAGGCTCCGATTTGAACCCGAAAACAAGGAATGCAGTAGCCCACAGGTGGTCTAAGTTTACCAATGGATTGCCAATTTTCCTTATGCCCTGAACTGTTGCCTTGGCAGCTACTAAACCTTCTTTTCTCTTTGTATATACCTGCGTTATGGGATGGAACTGGATCCAACATCCGAATGGTTTTTTCGCTGTTCGCGCTAATCCTAGTTTAACAAGAAGATGGGCTGAGTCTTCTTCAGCACTCTTCCATGCTTGTGGTGCAAAGCAACTAGAGCAGGAGCCAAATGTGACACTAATGCAATTCGTCCATTTCCTGAGCCGGCTTTTAGTGGTGGGCATATTGTTAGCTGCAGTAGTCAGAAGAGTCACGGAAATAGGTGTTGGGGCAAACCAGGCACCAACAAGAAGCATTCTTGAGGCAAGAAGGTTGATGATCCCACTAGATTGCTGTAAGACGGCGAAGCAAAACGATATGACTTTCATTAGGAAAGAGTTGTTCTTGTAATACTGCTCTTCAGTGATGCTTATGAACGGACAAGGGGAGCCTTCGTCAAGTTGCATTTGGCTGATAGCTTCAAAGAGAGCAGAGGGGGCAATAGCTAGTTCAGAAAGCAGTGACCCAATCAGCCACAAACCAAAGCTCAGCCTTCCTAGTTTCTCATCAAATTTCATCAGAATTTCCAACTCCTCAGCTGAGTAATCTTTCTTTTTTCTTCCTCTGATCAAAATCATTGCATCTGAAACCGGCAACGGTGGAAGCTGCATTGCATCAAAATTCATTACCTTGGACAGCCTAGTTGTGATGATCACATGAGACCCTCCTGTGTTCCTTGGGATCAAGTCATGTAGATCCTTCCCTTCCCACCACTCCCTCTCAGTCTCAAGATTATCAATCACAATCAAATAAGGCATGTCCCGGAACAACTCCCTCTTGACTCTCTTGAATGCTTCAAATTCCTGCTCCTCGAAGCTTCGAATTCGTCCCCTATCTTTTTCAGCATCAGCACTCACATCCAATCCCAAATTCTGAGACAGATTCAATATGTTCTGCCTAAAATATCTAGCTTCCCCACCAATCCACAAGACCATCTTGTACCTTTGGCAATACCTGTAAGCAAATTCCAGTGCAAGTTCAGTCTTTCCAATGCCTGGAACCCCATTTAAGCAGATCACACTGCTTCCCAAGCTCTTGTAATTCCCACTTTTCGACTTCTTGTACTTCGACCTCTTGAATGAATTTCTTCCCACAACTGGTTCAATCCAAGCCTCTAAATTGGGCTCTTTGCACTTGCCCATCTCTAAATTAATGTACCTCCCTCCTCTAGTGGTAACCACTTCGCTTTCGTCATCTGCTATGCCTTCAGAATGGCCACTGGCTTCTCCTTTGATGATGGTCATAGAGCATTCTTGCTCTAAGTAGTCCCCTGAAGAACCAAACAAAGCAGTTTCAATTTCCGTAATCTCCTTCTCTCTTCCCACAAAGAACTTGTTTCTTGGGAAAGGCAGCTCATCAACTCCTTCCATATCTGTCTGAGACACGCTTTGCCTCCCAAGCTTTGCCCGTAAAACCCCGGCAGCTTTAGATACAATGTTCCTCCAGTTACCCTCATTGGCTTCCAGCTTGAACTCATTGGTCTTCATGAGCCCATCAATGGCTTCTTTACATTCTTTGTCAATTGAGCTGTAGTTGAGAAGACCCAAGATTTCAGCAGGCCCAGTGTCAAAGAATATTGGGAAGAGGTTCTTCTTCTGGGCAAAGAACCTAACCTCCTCCATGCTCAGATGGTTGATAAAGCTAGAACTAGTAACAACCACAACCCCATATGTCACTGAGCAGATGACTCTGTCAGCAATCTCTTGGCTCTGAGTATCAGAGTACTTAGCCCTGTCAGCAACAAAACAAGCAATACCCTGGAGCTCAAGCTCTGATTTAAGCCACTTGCAGAAGCGCACCAAGCTTGGATTTTGGCCATGGAACCCAATGTACACATCACAGCTCCTCAGTTTGGCATTTGAAGCAGGGGAAACAGGGCCTTTGGCAAATGAAATCCGAGGGACAGGGAAGGAAAAAGAAATGCGTGGAGGTGCAGAGTCAAACTTGAGCTTCAAAGGGTCAGAAACATCATCAGAATATTCATATTGATCTGACGGTGGAGTGTAAGAACTGCTTGGTATGTCATCTGACTGTGAACCACGGCATAATGAGACCAGTGGAGAAGGCTGTGTGGTGGGGTTTGAGCTCTCTTGGTTTTCTTGGGGCTTTGGAGTTAAGGCCCTTGGAGAAATGTATGGAGACTGAAGAGCTGAAACAAATGCTGATGAAGGTGGGGAGACTAGAGATGGAGAGTTGTATGGTGAGGATTCAATTGAGTTCTTCAAGTTTGGAGAAGGCGAGGTCTCTTTACCTGTTTCTTGGCTGCTACAAGTTTTTGTTGTTGTTGGTGTTGTTGATGAAGCTATTTTGATGGTAAGCCCACTAGAAACCATGGTGTCTAGAGGAGTTTTCTGGGGAGCTTTAGCATATTTTGATGCTTGTTTCTCTTCATCCATGGCCATTTGCAGCTTTGGTAGATCTCACTTCAGATATTTAAACTACACCAGTCTTCCAGTTCTTTTCACCAGAAAGCATTAGTACTTAAAGAGTTACTACTCTCTCTCTCTACAATGTACTTTGAATACTGAGCATCCCCAGGTCCTCACAAGAATCATTTTTTGGCTGAAGGGAACCAAAATCCCTCAGCTTTCTACTGTGCTTTCTTTTTAAGTTTCAAAAATATACTGAAAGATACAATGTTTCTGTGAATGGCTCAGATGTGGGAAGACTCTGCCAGAAGATGAATGCAACAGTAAAACTCAAACAGGAGAAATCTTCTGCCCTTGATGTATATCACTGGCCATTGTGGGCCAATCTTTGGTGAGAGCCAGACTTTTGTTTCTATCCTGCAGCTGATGAGAGCAGATTTGACCAAGAGGGTTAGAAACAGAAGCACAGAAAATCCACCTTAGTGAATGATGAGTTGGGTTCTTTTTATTTTTCATGCATTTACATCAAGCCTATAGTTTGGGAAGATTTGAATGCTAATCATTTAAGCTTTTGCTTGCTATGATTGAAGTTGTTGCTTTGATTGATCTATATAATCACAATATAACAACTAAAAATGACCATATATATATATATTTGGTGCAATATTCTCAAAATCAATCAATTTGTTACCTTAGCTTTGATGGATAGGAGGCTAAGATGAAAAGGAAGGCCCTACTTTGCTGCAACTCCTGCGAAGCCCACGTCTTTATGTTTCGGTTTCTGTTTCTGTGATTGAACAAGCTGGATGCAGAGAGAGAGAGAGATGGGTGGGAATCTAATTGCTAATGTATGGGTTGGATCTGTGAGGTTTTGAACATAAAATATTACCCAAAATGCTTAAAAAGAAGTTGCAACAGAAGGTTAAATGCATAACATTTGTATTATATTAATTTGTGTTGGGGTTTGCCAATTTATTTTTGTTTTATGTGCTGTACATCTTAATCTCTCTCAATTCTAAATCTAACATGAGATTTCTCTCACTTGGTCACAGAAGCCAAAGATTGGTCAGAAAGCAAGCACTAGGAGAAAAGGACATTGGGAGAGCAACCATAACTCACAACTTGTTTGTACACTTGGGTGGGTTTGTGGCCAAACCAAATGGGGTTCAAACTCAAATTGATAAAAAACAATATTTACCATATATTAATTGTTTCCTAAACTATATATATATTTGGCAATGCAGTTTTTTCTTCTGAGTGAATGAAGTCATCCGACAGAGTTTGAATAATATTTGCATGGGAAATTGGACCAAAGACCAGTCCAACTGACTCACTGAGAGGACTGAAGAATTTACCATTCAAGAGTGATTTTCTTTTGCCTATATGGGTTCTCTGGGCACTCCAAATGGAGTCACCTTTTTATATTATCTTTAGATTCTTATGCATATGATAAGATTCACTACAGAAAAATTGAGGTGTGATCATTGGAATGGATATGGATGAGGTAAATGTAGAAATTGCAAGAAAGAGGCTTCTCTTGAATGGTTTATGTAGGTATAACAATGGATTGTATCGGGTTTTGGATAGTTTAAAAATCTTCAACTTAAATACACCAAATTTATTAAATAAGTTAGAGATCTTTGATTCGAGAACAACTCATATTAAACGAGTAACACAACACGCTTATCCTAACGTTCTAAATATTTTTCAATTCATATTATCTTCAAATTACAAATTACACATTGTATCATACATACTAATGACACCAAGCAACCCTACCATTCAAGCACAAATTGTGATTACGTTCATGCGATTATAGTTTGTATTTTAAAAAATTTATCCATCGATGTCTTTGTCTACTTAGTTTGGACCCATAATGATCATTCTAAATACTCATTTGCATATGCGGAGAGAATGATCATTAGCCTTTTATTCAATATTACTCTCCAATCAAATAAATAAAACCCTATGGCTTCACGAAAGGCAAGAGCATATACAAATAAAATACATAGTTTCTGATCGTTTCATTTCTTTGCATGATTGGGGCAAAGCTGGAAAGTCATACTGACACAGATAATGTCTCAATCACAATTCTTTTAGCCACCGTCCTCAACTCTTTAAAAAGCTTGGTCTCTTTTCCATAAATTATACACTCTCTCCTCTCCTCTCTCTTTGCTTGCTCTTTGCCTTTTGAATTTGCTAATTAATGTATTTATATGTCTTCCAACTTATTAAAACCTGATTTGTATATTTAATTACTCTCCTATCTTTCATGCTTGCTTGCTGGTTTGATTGTCTCATGATTACATTTACACCACAAAGCAAATGACACACCAGAAAAATTGAATTTATAGTGGGTTTATTCTCTTTGCACATGCTATTTTGTTCTTTGATGAGTTTTCATGACCCAATTTGTCTAATTTATAAAGACATACAAGGACGTCCATCAAACATAATTTTTGTAAAATTAAATTATGTTGAAGTCTAGGAAAGAAGAAAATAGACCCTCTGTAACAATACATATGAAATCTATGAGTTAGGTAGGTGCATGCCATTTTGTTATATATATATATTCTCTTATGCTAACATCGAAACGTTATTACTGTGCGGGAGCTATGTGTGTATTTTTACTATTCTATGTTTTTCTTCTTGTTTATAATAGCATCCGCATAATAATAACATACGGACATCTAGATGAGAGAATATATATATATATATATCAATCTAGCTTTTTTGGTCAGAAATATATCAATCAAGTTTGTTTTTCGTATGTGCAACACAATACTAAGCTCGGAGAGTTGCAGGCCCTTGGTCTTCTTCATAGTGCCAAACCATCACAATATGGCCCAATATGCTTTAGAATTAGAACCCATACGGCCAAGTTTTTTCTTTTTTCATTTCGGTTTTACACATGGCCCAGAGTATAAATCACTAAAAATACAACAAATAAAGTAATAAATCTACGTCTCTGTTTTTAAAAAGGTTATGCAAATTACAATTTGATCCATATAAAAGTAAATTTGTATACAATTATGTTGAGTTCAAATTTTTTTTCCTACAATCAATATTAGAGAAATGAAAAGAGATTCAAACACAGAACCTTGTGGAAAGATAAATGCTCGTAATCACGTACCGACGATTGAGTTGATTAATAAATGTATAAAACAATAATTAAGAAAGTTTGGGGGTAATAAGCAGACCCTTGTACAAAACTGGAATCCCGTAGAAAATAACCAACAAACAACAAGAGGCAGCCGACCTTGTCATATCCAGATCGGATGGCCAGCGGTGGCCAATGGTGTGTGGGGTGTGGTATGGGCCCACCATCGTGCATGTGGCCTTGCTCAGTCTCCCCCACGTTCCATCTCCCCCCTCTTTATTCCTTTCTTTTATCGTTATTAATGAATAATTATAACAATTTAATATTCCTAATTAAATATCATTGCTATAAAAACGCAAATCCGATCACAATTTAGGGTTTCCAATGTCCTTCGAATTTATCAACACCTGCATCTTCTTCTGAGCTTTAGTTAATAATTCTAACGGTGAGTTCCCAATTCCAATAATCCGATATTTTGAATTCATCGTTTCATGTTATTCTTCAGAATTCAATTCTCCAAACTTTAATCTTTCAGCCATTGATTACTCTGAATCTGTTTATTCTCTCATTTATATAAGTATGTTGTGATTTATGATCGAAATTTCATTTCCATTTACATATTTGCTAGATTTGGGCCATGAGATGGGATGGTAGTTGTTGTTCTTGATCTCATTGAATTGGGTGTGAGGGAGAGACCCTGAATTTTTCTTAATTATGGATTTGGAAAGTGAATCTGTGGAAGATAATGAAGTAAACCCACAAACAGTCTTCCATGCTGATGATAAGGATAACGATGATGGTAGTAATGAGATCAGGAACAATGGGTCATGTGCTAATGTGACTGAAAATGTAGCAAATACTAGAGTTAATCATGTTGACACTGCACAGCCAGTGAATTTGACTTTGCCGGCTGCCAACTCTCCCGGTGGGGGTTCACCTCCCACCGTCAAAGGGCACGGCTTAAAGAAGTGGAAGAGGATTAAGAGAAATTTTCCTAGGGATGATAGTGACAATGCAGTTGATGATTCTAGTAAAGTTTTGAAGCGGGGTTTGTCTGGTAATGGAAACCCAGTTAAGTCTAAGAATTCACCCCGTGAAATCAATCATAACAGTGAAGGTTCTGTTGGATCTGTGAATATGTTAAGAAATGTGGGAGTTGTTGATGGCTTTGCAATTCATGGTTCAAGTTCTGATTCCAGATTTGCTGTGGGTTCTGCATTTGCTGCTGGTGCAGATTCTGAGAACAGTGAGGATCGGAGTAGCAAGTCTTCTACAGCTGCCAGTGTTCCAAAGGCCAAGTATGAGCTGCCTGCAGTATTGGGGCATGCAAGGGAGAAGAACAGGATGAAGAGTACCGGTGGAAAGAGTTTGAATAGTTCAGCTCAAAGGGCCCAACAGGGAAGGGTACAAATTGAAAGCAGTAAGAAGCATAGAGGAGACAGGGTCAAGGTTGAGAAGGAAAACTCTTATTCCAGCGTGGAATCTGACTCAAGAAGCTCCAACTATGTGTTTATGCAGAGTCCAATTCTGACTAGTAATGGGAAGCACAGTGGAAGGTCAATGAGTCATGACGGAGAAAACAGTGATGAAGTTCATGCAAATGAACAACACTACAGTGAAGAAGTTCAAACTGGTTATAACAAAGAGAATGTAGGAGAAGCCGAATTTTTTTCTCAAGATGACTTTCTTGCAGACTTGCCATGGAAGCTTAAGGGTGAAAAAAATAAGAATCGCAGGTCCTTAAAAGATCAGGATCCTCTCTTTGAGTCTATCCTTAATCTCCAGTCTGTACAAGAAGCACTTGCTAAGGTTAGTCTATCTGAAACCTCTAAAAGATAAAAATTAAACAAAAAAAGTTATGACAATCGTGTTATTGTCTTGCTTTGCTGCTTTCCAGACATATTTCTGAAGATGTGTTGGTGTTCTCCTAAATTTGATTGATCAGATTCATCATATTGTTAATTGACTATCTCAAATTTTTTTGTTTAACTACTTTCTGTGCTGATCTGGAGAAGGTAGAAGAATTAATACAATAAATATTAAAATCATAGAAACATTATTTTGGAAAACCTGGCCTTGCAAAATTGTGTTGTCTGCTAAATGCTAATCATGTAAAATTTTCTCGTAAACATGCAATGTTTATTTTTCTTTCCATTGTTATTTATGCATCGGCCATCTTTGGATCCATGTGCTGTAGTGGGTATAGATTTAGGAATTCAAGTGACATGTACAGTATCTTTGTTTGGCAAGCAAATTTTCTTGGTCATCTCTAGAGTAGACTGTAGGACCTCCTGATTTGAGGGATATCCTTAAATGAAAAAAAAAGGGAGAAAAAAGGAAGAAAAAAAAGATTCTGTCTTCTTTAGAGACTTTTACTTGGTTATATAACATGTAACTCTGGTTTTGTGTATATGTTTTACTTAAGAATTAATTGTAGCATAGGGAAAGAGAAATAGAAGAGAGAGCAGAGAAAAGGAGAAACTAGGCTCAAGGCCGCAGACTATGTAATCAATGGGTGAGAGAGTTTCCATGGCAGCCATATGCTAGTCTTCTATAAAAAAAAATTATATTGTACTTTTTCTTTGGTGCTTTTGCACGTGGAAAGTTCCTTCATTTTCCTTTGATTCAGTGTCATTCTGTACAGCTTCCTTGTTATCCTATGGTATCACAGCAACTATGGCCTTGTTTTCCTCAACACTTTCTTCTTGTCCTTCAGGTGGGGTTGAATAAGAGGGAATTCTGTTTGCACCTTATGGGTTGAGCTTTTCATAACTTTTTACCAATTGCTATTGCCTCCAATGTCTTCCTATAGATTATAGAAATACTCTTATCCATTGCTTTGAAAGTGCTCTTATTTATGGACGAGAATTTTCTTTCAGATCCTTGAAAAGTTCTAGAGAAGGATTTAATAGATCTTTACTTGGACTTGTGAGATGTTAGCAATTAGGTAATGACAAATTGTCCTGCCCTTAACCATGAAAAAAGAAATTTTGTAGAATTTCCATCAAGTTTAGAGGATCTTCTTTCCTGTAGTACAAACAAAAGAGTGTTTGTGAAATACCTTTTAAGTGCCCCATGTGTGTGATAGGATATGTGGTGAGTCTTTATGGTTGATACATAATCATTTTGAGGAGCCTAGATCTTGATTTAACTTGTTAGTAACTTCATTGAAGTTATGGTTTGGCATTCATTGATATTCTTAGACAGTCAGAAGTGGTGATGTAATGTCACCCCTTGTTTCTCTTTCCTATTCTCTAATGAAGGCTCTCAGTTCAAGGGAACTGGTATTCTTCTATTTCTTGTGTCTTGTACCATCCATCTTGGTTAGTGTACCTTTTTTTTTTTGTGTGGATTCATTGATTTTACCCCTCTCCTATTTAGAGCCATCTTGCATGCTTTACAAAAATTGAAACTTACCACTGTCTGTCTTCCTTATTAGCCATGGCTTTTTGTTCCTGTTGAAACTACTTGCGACTGCTTTCTAAGAATATTGTTTTATTTTTGGGGAATTTCTGCTATGCTGTTATGGCTATTTTTAGGACATGACATTAACGGAGTTATGTGTCCTCATGCAGAGGTTCAGAAATTCGGGGAGATTGGGAAGGAACCTTTATCACCGGGTGATAATTCAGTGAATGGTAGTGGTATACCTGCTGACCTCTCTTCAAGTGATCCGGGAATCAGTGAATCAAATTTATCTGACCATTTGGGTTATGAAAAGATTGGACAAACTTCTTCGAAGTCCTTGGAAGTGCAAGTCTTAGGTTTGAAACAAAGTGTGAAGCTTTTGGAAAGCCAGCTGGATGAGAGTAGGGCTATGCTTGAGGTGAAGGAGTCCAAGGTTGCTGAACTTGAAGATATGATTAACATTAGCAAGTCTCCAAAAGAAGAATCAGGTAGTACCATAGATTTAGAGGAGGAAAAATATCGAGAGTTAGAGACTGAACTTGAGGGCGTGTTTAGGCAAATGATTGAAGCTCAGGTTGAGTATATTGCAATTAAAAGAACCACACAGAGATTGAAGTTTGCTGCAGGTGGCCAAATCGCACTACTTAACGAGCAAGAAGAAGTGGCTGGAGAGCAAGCACAGATGCTGAACAAGCTTGGAGAAGCAGAAATTAGGGCTGCAAAGCTAAAGGAACGAGCAGAGGAGTTGGGGAAATATGGTGGAGATATTGTGGCGACTGAAGAGGTTTTCACTATGCAGAAGAGGTTTTGTAAGATTACTTCATGTCTTTTTATTCAGATGATATTGCTGGGCTTAGCTGTCTGGTTTTTTTTCCTCGCAGACCCCCCATCAAGGGTGGCTGTACCCACCTGATCTGTGATTAGTAATGCCCTTTTTTTTTTGTGTATTCTCAACCTCTTTAGGCAAATATTTGAATGTTAAATTTTATCTTTTGTCATGTAGAACCTTTTTCTTCCCTCCTTTCTCTCTATGTTTTTCTTTTTGTAACGATGTTGTAATTTTTTTGTCTTTTTTCTAGAAACAAAAGCACCCCAAAATTATAAATTTTATATAAATGCCTGTAGCTTTTTCTACCTTCCCAAGCTGAATATTTCTAGTTCAATTTGGTTACCCTGTTGGATGTTGTGTTATTGGAAATGAAGGAACACTGAATCACTTGTAACTGAGATTATTTAAAGTTCTTTGGTACCATGGTTTGCAGGTCTCATGTGTGTTTTTGACAGGAGATGGTTTAAGTTAGAGTCATTGTCATTATTGGTGCTAATGATGTGTTTAAGCCGCCGTAGTTAGTCGCAACAATGTTTGGTCAAAGCTGTGGTTGCTCTCCCTTGGTTTTTCTTGCGAAAAGAATTGACTAGGCTGTTGTTTATAAAGTATGTGGTGGTGATAAAAGTATGTTACTTTCATGCATGTGGGTATATTTTCTAAATCTAGCAAGGACAATGTATAGACTGTGGTCCTCAGTCCATTTTGTGTTACTCATAACTTATGCGCCAAGACAAAGAAAGGCAAGAATACATATAATGCGATATGCTAAGAATTTTATATCTTCCAATTTCTAAACTCAAGATGATTAAACTATGCCCAATAGCCCGGACTTTTAAAAGGTCAACAGGGAAAATTTGATGGATGTTTACAATAATTATTGTCTTACGAGCAATGCTACTCTCAGTCGAACATGATGCATTGCAAGTCATTGATCACCATGTGATACGCTATCGGGTTCACGCACATCAACGGCTTAAAATACACCGCCGCACGTGACAGACGGAGAACATTTTTCGTCGTCATATCTCAAAAATGTTATTTTATTAGACTTTGAATCAAATTCTTAGTTACTGGGTTCATCATTTTTAGTCCTCAATTGAGGCGGCCCAATACTGCACCATGTCACCATGACCATATAACTGGACTCTATTTATTAATAATTTTAGTAGATACAATGGTACTCCAAATATAAATATATGAATTTTAGTATTTTAAGGCGGTGTAGACGACCAGACACAGAAGTTCAAAGTCAAGGTTTTGTTAGATTTGCTGACCAGACGGCTAATTTGGAGTTGAAGCCTTGAATGGCGAGGATAAGTACAAATCCCCTAATTGATCAATTGTACTTTACCCTGGGAGCCTAGGAGCCTAGGAGCCTAGGAGCCTAGGAGCCTAGGAGCCTAGGAGGAGAATTTACTCTCCAGCATGACGGCATCCAACTCCTTTGCTCATTCCCTTTCCCATTTCTCATTCCGAAGAATGTTTTGGATGGAGCGGTTTGATCGCGTTAACCATGCGATTGCTCTCACAAAAAAGGGAGAATAGTTGCACATGTGAGAATAGTGATTCCGCCTCGGTCCCACGATGATTCCGCCTCTAATGTGTGAATTCGCTCTCCTGTGACAATAGTTGCACATGTGATCGGACTGCTTCACTCAAGAATTTCTCCACATACTGAGTAGTAAGTACGGTTAGAAAATCATTTATAACAGTTATATTGTTAAAGAAATAAATAATAATGTATATTAAGCTGACATTAGCTCTCACAAGTAACTCAGGGCATGTTTAGTATCCTACTTGGATTCAATTTTATAAACTCAAAAACAAGTTTTTAAGTCCAAAATCACAAAACCTGTTTGGCAGGCCCATTTTTAAAAACTCAAAAACACCAGTTCTCATTCCGAAGAATTTTTTTTATTTTAATTTCAATTTTTTTAGATCTTAAAAATAATTTGGAGATCAATACCAAACAAGTTTTTAGATCTTTGAATTTACATTTTTGAGCAGAATACCAAACATGGCCTTATTTTTCATTTTGCAAACTAACAAAGAACATGAGATTTTGAACCGAGCGCACCTATTGCAACAAAAACTCACTCATACTATTATGTTGGATAATCACGGACCTTCAAAAGTTAAGTTTGTAGAGAATAGATGAATAATTTTTTTTATACAAGCGATATTGAGGAATGGGGGAATCGAATGTAATATATCGGATGCATAAGTAAATGCTCTTAACTAATTTCATAGAACCCAAGAAGAAATAATTTCAAGCCATTTATATATGTCAATCGATTGGCAAAGAAAAATAGAAGTTTTTGTGTCGATTGTGAAGTTGAATATTGTTTCATTCATTATTATGAATGCCCATGTTGTAAATGGCATAAGATTTTAAATTTGGATTCAAAGTTTTATCATATACAATGTATGATGACTTATTGATCACAGATATTATACATTCACCAATACAATATGCATGACCTAATAAATGACATAAGATTGTAAATCTGAATCAAATATGCATATGTTTATGTACGTCATTAACCACATTACTAATTACATCTCTCACATAAGTAGCCCGTGCACTATACTTTTATGAGAGGTACGTTGCTTATATTATAATAATAACTAGTCATGCTACGAGACATACGTTTTATGAACAATTTATCCTATGAAAGACGTGGTTCATATTGTCACTAAATGTAGTACATAAACCATTACTTAAAGAGAGAGTTTCTGCATCCATATATAATCGAGCACAACATTGCATGTGCTAATTTCTTAAACATGCAAGTGCTAGAGCTGCATAAACAACTACTACTATTTGACTTTGAATCTGAAATTGTAAATGTTCCAAAATGAATTATTTTCTATTAATTTCTTTCAAAAACCCATTTAAAGATATGAAAACAGAACACCACCAACCCTCTGTTCTGTACATGAATATCAGAATCAGATTGTGGATAAAGTGAGACAAGTACAAGAATCCCACCAAAAGAAGGAAATGTATATAAAAAGAACCATGTGCAAGAAACAGAATTTTAGCATTAATTAGAAAATATTTTAATCAATAATTAATCCAAACTAATATAATATATATTTGTATCCTAGGACCAATGACATAAAGACACGAAAGCAAGCTAGAGTTGGCCCCCATATATATTATGGTACATGGGTATTGTTTGGCAGTTAAGAAAATGGCGTGAGAAAGGTGGCAATGGATATGAAAGTCAAATGATTTTGTATAGAAAGTTTGAGGTCACGAGAATTTGTCAAGAAAACAGTTGAGCCATAGCCCCCTTTTTCTTCTATTTGCTAAATGTAAATGCTAAGGCATCCTATCCCTCATAGACTCACAGTCCCAGTCTTCCCCAACTATCATTACATTACAACATAAATGAGTGCCCTTTCCTAACCTGACCATATTGTACCCGTCATAAAATGTAACTTATTTGAAACCCATGTGAGATTTGTCTATGTAAATGAACATATACTTGCACGCATGTTTCAAACTAGAGTGCAATGGGACGGACATATTGTTTTGACCAACTAACTTTACCTACATTTACAAGTGTGAAATATTTAGATAGTGAGTTTCGTTTCTACGAGAAGTGTGGTAAGCAAATGAGAGAAAATTAGTTTTACTAATGTGAAAATACATGTTAGCATAACATTTCATTTGTGTCAATGAGGTGCTTTTAGATTTTGACATATTTATACATGTATATGTACTCATACATATACGCAAGTAATATACATGAATCTAGAGACTTTGGTTTCTTTGTCATATTCTTTTGCTGACCTGGTCACAATGAACTCACATAAAGTGAGAATAGATGCTATAAAGCTCAAGCTGGAGAGGAATTAAAAATTGTGTGTTTAAAAAAATAGGCTACTCATGTTTTGCAATTAAATTATATGATGATGTGGAAAATAAAAAATAAAAAAATTCTACATCTCTATCAGTACACCAGGACCTTTTCAAAACTGACCCCACAAGTAGTTCATGTGGAAGATACACCAAGTTCCCAAACTCTCACAAGTTGCTTTTGGAGACTTGGATGCTTCTCTTGGTTTCTCTCAAAGAAAACTTTATGTGTATATATATATATATATATATATATATTGAGCAAGAGAAAAAGACTGGCTCTTCTTGCAAACAAGGTTAATGGGTGAAAGCTCCTATTGGGAAGAAGAGAAGTCTCTTGACTTTTAGAAAAAAAATGGCTACCTGTTATGGACCTCCACTACATACTCAGTGCTATGTTATTAGCCTCACATCACAAATAAACAAATGATAATCAAATGCACACACATATACTCAAAATAAGAAAATTAGATTTGAGATATGATTATAACAAGAAAATTAATGAAAGAAAAAGTAGAGAAATTAATGTGACCAAAAAGGAAGACTGTATATATGCAGAATTGCAGAATCTTTACATGATCTCCATCCCAAAGTAAAAACACTAGGACCATTTGGAAACCTCCTTCACTAAAGCAAAAACCCTTGAGCACCATCATTCATGCTTTACATGAAGAAAATTAGCATAAAAAGACAAGGAGCCTATGACCCCACCTTGAGCAATGTGGAAACAACATAGGGTTTCTAATGCAAGTGCCTTTCACTGCTGCAAAAACTAGACTACCAGACAAAACTAACTCGACTATCAGAAAACCAAAAACAGAGCTGCTACTGACCTCTGCAAAAGAGTGATCCTAAAACCGTCACCAAAGAGACTCAGAGACTCAGAAGAAAAAATCTCAGCTTCAGCTGACTAAGTTACTGAATTGTGAGAAGAAGTTGCATAGCCAGCTGCCCCATACTGATCTGTACCTTCTTCAAACTCCATAGCTGGAAGCTCATTGAGGTCAAAGTTGAGAACTTTACGACCTGCGTTTTGGCTTGCTTCACCTGGTGAAGCTGCCTGACTGGACTGAGGTAGCAGCTGCTCAGTGGGCCCAGTCCAATGGCACCTTTTGTGACCCCCTAAGGCCTGACCTGTTGGAAAAATCTTGTCGCAGATTTTGCATTGGTGATGAGCTTGATGAGCTCCTAGTCCTCCTGCTCCTGAGCCAGAGCC